TTGTAAAATTGATATTTTCACTAGTGAAAAAAACACATTCGATGTTTCTCTATACAATGCAAGTCAGAAAAAAGGTATTTTACGACATAATTTGCTTTCACTCATGAGAGATCTTTTCAACACTCGAAGATAAAATCCGTATCTCCGCGCTCCCATGTAATATCCTCTTTTTGCTATTTATATTAGGAATTAATCAAAATACGAAAGAAATTGTTCAGCTTCAGTTGTTATATTTTGTCCTTTAATGTATTCCTAGCTTCCAAAATCCCTAAATCTTAGGACAATGTTTTTGTAATTGCGGGTAGCAATACTTCTTGTATTTAATTTAATCAAATGTAAATAAAGTATTGTTGTTGTTGTTGTTGTTGTTGTTGTTGTTGTTGTATGTAGTAAATAAATGATCTTACCATTTAATAAGTGAAGAACTCAGAACAAATCTGAGCTCTAGATGTATCTCCTACGTCATTTTCGTGACTGTAGCATATACAGTACATTTGTCATAGTATGATCCACACTTAAGACCTTAGCTCACCATATGAGTCCCAGTAGCTCAGTGGTTGCGGTTAGAGCATCTAGAATACTGAAGGTCGTGGATTCAAATCCCATCTGGATCTCAGATTTTTTCTGAACTCTGAGCTCCTCACATATTAATGGTAAGATMATTCATTTGCTACATTTATTATACCATCTCAGACCACATCTATATTTAATTATGTGACTTAAAATTATCGAAAGTGTTTTGAAAAAAGTGTATATTTTGTTTAATTATGTGTATATTTCAATGTTGAATTATCAGGTAAATATCTATTCATCGAATCATCGCATCCTCAAACTCGTGGTCAACTAGCGCAACTCATCAGTCCTCGTCTATGTGGGGCAATGTGCCTACAGTTATTCTACCATCTCTATGGCTCACAGATGGGTGAGATTGCTATCTACCAAAGGAGRGGGTTAAAGACCGATGACAGGATTTGGGGTGCCAAAGGAGAACATGGTGATGTCTGGAATGAAGCTCTAATCGATATTTCAGGCAATTGTTATCAGGTAATTACTCCTGTACTCCTGTACCTGTTACTCCTGTGTAAAGTCAAAGTTTTGCTGCAATTGGTTTTGTTGTCTCTTTAGTAATTCGGTTGTATTGATTTCATTAGATATTGATGTAGGTGTCTTTTGAAAAACTAAAAGTAAATAAATAAATAAAATAAATAAATGGAATAAAATGTCCGAATATTCTTGAGGTATGAGTCCCGTGTATTCTTAAAAATAGCTTCCCGATACCGCAATAAAATCAATTTGTAACCAGGATAAGTCCTAGGAGAGTTAGTGAGGCTATTCAAAATCGTGTCCACGTGAGTATGAGCAAGAGAAACTTTGTTGTGAGGACAAATAGTGAAGTTCTCTGAATTTAGGAGAGCTATAACCGTCACTGAGGTCGGGGAAATTCTCGTAACGATAAATAGGACAGTAGAACTGTTTAGTTACAAATTTGTTAAATTTGCTCGAGTCGAAAATCGAACCCGAGACCGTCAGTTCAACGCCGCTATTCAAGTATGATCTTGCATGTAAAATATGTAAAACAAATATCTACAGGAAAAATAAGAATAAGTATATTTCAGTAAAAAAAAGAAAAAAAGGAAAGAAAAAAGGAATCGCTTAGAAGTGATCGAGTCGAGAATCTAACCCGCGATCCTAAGTTCGACGCTATTCCAGCACGATAGTCTGTGCAAAAAATCAAAATAATGGCTCGAAAATAATTGTTAAACGAATACCTACGAAAAAAAAATGAACATGACTATGACAACTCCATTTCAGTTAAACAGAAAGAAAAAAATGAGTCGAGAATCAAGGCCACGATCCTAAGTTCAACGCTATTCGAGTATAATATTCTGTGTAAAATCAAAATAGTGGCTCGAAAATAATTACTAAACAAAATCTTCAGAAAATCAAGATGACTATAACAACTATATTATATTTAAAAAGAAAGAAGAAAAAAAGTACGTGCTCGAGACGAGATTCAAACCCTCAATCCTCTGTTTGACGCCGTTGTTCGAGTATCATCTTGTTTCTAAAATTTAACAAACGCGTCTCGTAAACATTAATAAACCAAATTGCTATGATAAAAATCTAACATGACTAGAACACTTGTATTTCGGTTAAAAAAAAAACAAAGAAAGAAAGAAAGAAAGGGAGAAAGGGAGAAAGAAAGAAAGAAAGAAAGAAAAAAGAACTTTTCAGAAGTGCTCCTGTCGAGGATCGAATCTTGGAACTCTGGATTATGGGTCCCTTGGGATTGCTAAACTGCGATGTGGATAAATAAYAATAAATAATTAAAGTCGCTGCATTTTACAACCGTGCCGCAGGMCTTCGGCCTGGACACGGTAAAAMATTCTTTCAAGGTTGCCTTCTCTTACGAGATGATGACATCTTAATTYAATAAAAATYATCTAGGCGATCATACAATGACAAGGCGGGGTTTCACAATATACCACTCCCTCCTTTAAACGGATATGTGACCAGTGCGTTTTTTTATAATTATACAAAGCTTTTTCTCATTTGTTCGTGGAGTTGAGTAGCACCTTTTGATATTATGTTCAACTTGCAGATTGTCATTGAAGGGAAGATAGGAAAAGGTTATCTCAGTGACGCAGCTATTGATGACATCATTTTAACCAAAGGAACATGCTGTCAAAAACGGTACAGACACTTCGACATCTCAAAAGGTATGAATTGAAGTCTCAATTTAATGAGTTTTCGATATATTCCGGTTGATGTACATATTTATAAGGCGAAACCTAAATCCCTCACGTTGATACAGCCACATTGATACAACGCATTCCTTTCGAAAAAAATCGCTTAAATAAAATTGGAAAGGCGTACTTGATCTTGTTTAATATTCTTGCTCCCTTTACAGGCAGATCTGTTTAATTCTTTTCATAAATTTCTTTTTTTGKGGACCCATCTTAAACTCAAAGTGCTTATAAACCCTAAAATGACACAAATTTGGATCAATTTTTGGAAGTCTAAGAGTTAAAATGAGGTGTTTTATAGTGTGGTCGGATAAAACGGGGTCGAAATATTWTAATCTTAAAGATTGGTATTAGGGTTTCCTGTGTCAAATATAAAGCGTAAAAAATCCCTGGGTACGAATAGTGTTTAGCGACGYCAAGAGAGGTTGCGAGGCATGCGCAATAAAGTAATTTTTTTATCYGGGACTCCTGTTAATCACCTTTACATTTTATACTAGATGTTTGCTCGGCTCAAATGKTATAAAGTTCACGTTCGATATTTCATGATATCTTTTTTACAATGCCTGGTTCATTGCTATTCGGTGGAGGGTTGTAAAAACGAAGGAAAAGGGTAGTGGGATTTGTTCCGAATACCACTGAAGACGATCAACGCTTAGCGAAGCCAAATAACGCAGTCAAAGATCGTTCAACTTTGTGGCTACGAGAAGAAGTGTTCTACCCTGGTTCCAGAGGCTTTGTCTTTTATTMTTTTGCTTAATGTGTTATCGAGCTGAGCTGCGAAGCGGTGAGACGCRTTTTCGTTAATAGGTTTGTTTGGCGTAAAAAGAAACCCAATTAACGATTTGAAATATCAAAGTTTACTGGTTCAGTCCTTGGTTTCAATCGTTTCTACGGAATGTTTGATGCCCAGGTTGACAAAACGAATTCCGCTGTCGTAACAAAATTCGCCTATCTTAAGGAGCTGGTAGACCCTAAAATAAGGTCACTAATCGATGGGCTACCATTTAACAGTGAAGCTTATGAAAGGACTAAGCAAATATTGACAACTAAGTACGGCAAGACAAGCGAAATCGCAAACGCACACATGCAGGGTATCATCAATCTTCCAACTATCCAGGGTTCCCATTCAACCAAAGTAAAMGAGTTTTATGAGAAACTGTTGACCCATGTGCAAGCCCTAGAAACAATGGGTAAGCTAAGCGAGGTGAATGGATGTTAAACTAACCTTAGACAAATTATTGGGAATAAGAGTTGGTTTAGTAAGACTTGACGACGATTGGCATGATTGGACGTTTTTCCATCTCATTGAAGCCCTAAGAAAGTGGTGTGAAAGGAATCCTGCCCCCACGCCAGACACGCGCCCTGTTCTTAGTCGACCTAATASTCAAAGAGTGGGACAGGGAAACCCCCCAAGGAGAGAGAAGGTCTTTAATGCGAGGGATGAATCCATTAAGCCAAAAGCTTGTATTTATTAAGTCAGATAAGCACAAGTCCGTGAGTAGTAGYATAGGCTGCATAGTTGGGGCCGGATTTTCATTGGAAATGGCAATGGAAATGGTTGGAAGAATACTAATGAGACGTTGGTGGAATACTAATGAGGTGCCCCGTTGGTAATTTATTCGAATTTAGKTCTTTTGTACACTTAATCCCCGAACAATAATCCTTTTGTTCTCTATTGTTTCGCCTAAGCGGTTATYTATTGCTTCAATCTGGGCTGTTATAGTCACTCTGCGCTCTGATTGACTTGTTAGTTTTATATTTCTTTGCTGAAGATGTTTGGTGCAGTGGATAGAATTATGATTGAACAATTTGAAAAGGCTCAACGTTCTTTTTTGCTGGAGCTGATATCAACGGTATTGCAACTCTCTTATATGCTTCTTTATGTGAGCATCAAATTTGGGAACTGATAAATTCTTCGTGTGAAGGCTGCAAACTTCAACTWCCAGGCAAGAAAGATCATATTTGCATGATGACCAATAATGGAGAAGCATTCAACCAGTATTACGACGAAGCCACGCAGTTAGTGGATTCCAATCGAGTTTGGGAATTATCCAATGAAGTATGTGAGCACGAGTACCTTAAAAACCTCGATTTCAAAATTCACCCTTCCTGACGAGTTTATACTCCTGAATTTTACAAGCTTCCTTGGACAATCGTCTATCTGCAGAACATTCTTCAGTTCTTCTTTCTTCAGAGAGCGCATGGATCAGAGTTAGTCATTATTATTGTAGATTACTCCACTGTTTTTATAAAACCAATAAATCTTATTGTAAACAGTNGTACGTTATTATATTTTTTTAGGCCTGTAAATGACAGTGTTTCCTGGGTACTTCGTTTACCTGTAGCACTGAGCGTACTTTGTGTATGCGTCCATTTACTTGGGCCACTGTAATTGTACGTTATTATAGTTTTTTTAGGCCTGTAAATGGCAGTGTTGCCTGGGTACTTCGTTTACCTGTAGCACTGAGCGTACTTTGTGTATGCGTCCATTTACTTGGGCCACTGTAATTGTACGTTATTATAGTTTTTTTAGGCCTGTAAATGGCAGTGTTGCCTGGGTACTTCGTTTACCTGTAGCACTGAGCGTACTTTGTGTATGCGTCCATTTACTTGGGCCACTGTAATTGTAGGTTATTATAGTTGTTTTAGGCCTGTAAATGGCAGTGTTTCCTGGGTACTTAGTTTACCTGTAGCACTGAGCGTACATTGTGTATGCGTCCATTTGCTCGGGTCACTTCAATTGCATTACGTTATTATTGTTAACTGGACATAAATAGATGTCACAGGTTTAACCATCGAAAAATTATAAAAATTACGAWTWAAWGATATAACGCCCGTATATTATTACCAGCTTTGCAGATTTTACGTTTAATTTTTAAGTTTAAATTGAAAATACACTACCATATGATACTCTGCACGGGATAGAAAAGTTTGGTATATATGAATGTACTTATAATGTTATAACGCCCAACCCCTATAATTCGCATACCGAAGTATCGCATTACCTAGTGTAAATTGGCTGAGTGCACTTGGTAAGTGCACTCAGCCAATTAGTGCTCTAAATCTTTTTAGAGCTAAGCTCGTCATGTACCTTAAAAACCTCGATTTCAAAATTCACCCTTCCTGACGAGTTTATACTCCTGAATTTTACAAGCTTCCTTGGACAATCGTCTATCTGCAGAACATTCTTCAGTTCTTCTTTCTTCAGAGAGCGCATGGATCAGAGTTAGTCATTATTATTGTAAATTACTCAACTGTTTTTATAAAACCAATAAATCTTATTGTAAACAGTCTTTCARTCTCTTCTTCTTGTTGGTGTTATTTCAGTCTATTACGATTAATCACTTCGCGAATCCGTTTTGAACCACCGTATTTTGAAGAATCAAGTGAATGATTTAAAAAACTTCTATAACTTTGATCAGATAGAAAATGGCGTGTTCTATTTATAACAAGCGCATAGCTTTATGTTAAAATTTTACGATCGTATAAATTATTATCTGGACAGAGAAAAGGTTTATGATTGCCTTTGTTCTAAGACAATAGGTCACCTGCTAAAGGAGTTTGAATAACAAAAAAGTAATGTTTTTTTTAACCTTTTTATATTTCTAACTCCTTTTATCTGTATTTCACTTGTTTCATTTTTTTAAGTCATATATAACTTTCAAAACTTCTGAATGCTCCGGAAGGCCCGGAAGTTGGTCCGGAAAGGCCCGGAAAGGTCCGGAAATGTCCCGAAGCGCTCCCGGAAAGAGTCCAGAAATCTTTCGGAATTATAAACCATTTCTGACGCAAACCATTTCTGTAAAACATTTTATTCCATAAACTAAAAGGTTTACTTATTACATATAATATATTTTTTGAAAATATGAATGGATCATTGTTGACCTATTTTTATTTCCATTGATACATCATCGTATTTTGGATTATTATAATTAATATATCATAGTTTGAAACCAATTCAACAGAGATTCTTGTGACTTGTGATACACTATGTTACACCATGCACTGTACCTCATAGTATAGAAGATTTTAACTTCGTAAAAGCTTTTCAAAACGCACCATATTAGAAACTTGATAGTTCTTCCATTGGCGTTTGGAAATGGATGGACGCCAAGGAAAGCTAGGACAAATTCAGCAAGTGCCTCTAAAACCTGGCAGCAATAAATGGTTTTATAATTAAAACAATCCACTATAATTTGCATTCTAGACTGAATATCCTTTGGATCGCAGTACCATATTTCCTGACCCTGGTAAGTGGTCATTCTCTGGTTTGTGCAATAAGCACATAGTTTATCGTTTTGGAGCAGTTTATTATTGATACTGATGATTATTTCATGTTCCAAAAGGCCTTTGACAGGATAATTCAAAAGTTCCTCGAGATATTCCTTGGCCTGCTCCTTGCATTGATGACTGGTCAAAGTGCTCTTCGCTATTCAAAATCTCTCTTTCTATTGTAAGCATGTTATCCGGCAATGCAAGCCTTCAATCAAAACCACTAAAATTACGACCGCTGTRGGGATGGAATCTTTCGTTTATRCTTTGTTTTGGGACTTCYTCTTTGATGAGTGGCTGATTGAACTTTACTGGCCCGTTAAAATAAGAAACCTGTGCAATGGGAGTTTTAAATGGATAAACCTCCATGAAKATAATCCAATTGTTAAAATAATCGTCCAAGAGGCTCTTGCGGGCGAGATGATCTCTTAACTCAGAAAAACCTTATGGATATGGAGAGCTATGACTGGGAAGAAGCAACCCAATCAGCCA